GAGCCGCACTGCTTGTTCTTGTTACAAAAACTTTAAAAGCATCCAGCGTCGCCAGTTTTGAACGGACGTGCACACAATTTTGTACACATAAACTAGTGATGATTTTCAACAAAAGTTCATCGCCCTTTTTTAAGTTAGACCCAAGGGTTCCCTCTACACCTACAAAAAAACCCAAAAAACAGGGGTTTCAGCAAGGACTGGACTGGAGATGGCTAAAGGGGGAACCGGAAAGGGGGCCCCCAATTAAAATAACAATACTCTATGGGGTCCTGGAGTATGACCCTGTGAAATTTCTGTGTTCTAGACGCCCAAAAATAACCTCTGAGGCCTTTTGGCGATTAATTTTTTCTAATTCCTTTTCCTTTTTTTTGACTTTCCAAATGGGGGGGGGGCTGTCTCTTATACACATCTAGATGTGTATAAGAGTGGCCCCCCTTGGAACCGCGCCTGGCTATTACCACTAATAGGGCATGTCGCATGGATGGCGTGGTCGGTTAAGGATGTGTTCTAAAGAACTTAAGGTTGCGAGTTTGAATCCCGTCTTAGTATTCTCTTTCCAATTTAAAAAAACAAGCAAGCAAAACGATCCCATCGCCTACCATCCAGCAAAATAGGCTAGGCATATTCAAGTCTTTTTTATCTCATAAAAAAATATTGTTCATCGTAGTTGAAAAAAAAAATATGAAAAGGCCGAACATCAATTTCGTAAATTTTGGGTCGGTCAGGTGTGGCCAACGCAATTTTGTTTATTTGTCCTAAGCCTGCCCTTCTTACCAGTCTGTCCGCATATATCACATGCTCTTGGCTGGTTCGGTTTGAATTCCTCCCTGATGATTGTAAAATTTGGCTCGTGAGTTGCCAAACCTGAAAAAATATATTAATTTGAGATTATTCCATACACAGTAGTATAAAAAAAATTCCTTTAAATCTAACAATATGGAACAGTACTTTAACACTTACAGAATAGAGCTCTTGATTCTGCTCTGTAAAAATTATAATGAGGCTTATGGCAGACTTAAAAAGCGCCACCAATGGCCATTCAACATGATTCCATGGAGACAGCAATGCAGCAAGCATTTTGTGATAAAATGTTTTAAATATGTTTTTATTCAACTGTTAGGCACAAGGAACAAGGATATGCCAAACAGCAATTAAATCACTAACTCTTCAGAAGGCAAACCTACACACAAGATGCTCGACAGACTCATTATAAGCTTATACCCTGATCAGACTTCTGTACACCCTGTTGTGATCGGTTGCAATGTAATCGGTGGTAATCCAAAACAAATGTATTCAGACCAACACAAAGAAACTTTACATTCTAGGGCCTAGGCCTCCGCTGGCTAGGCCTATGTTGACTGACTTCTGTCAAACAGTGCCTGTGGAAATTCGTTGTGATCGGATTCCATGGTAATCGGGAGTTATAAAGGTTGTAGCACCCAATCGCAACGGGTAACAATTGCGACATCGTTTACTTATCGACTACTATTTGTGAGCTTTCACACACAATTTTACTTTGCGATTGGGTGCGACTGGCTGTCGCAACTGCTACAACAGATCGCAATGCGATGCTAGTCTGAATGGGGTATTAGGGGGCGGAGTTGTTTTGGGGATAAATGAGAAAAAAATCCTGTTGCCGCAAACAATAAACCCTCTCTCATTTACCCTATTGGCCTGACCCCCATTTTTCCCCTCAAATCTGATATTGCTTGTGTGCTTGCGGAATAAGCAGGAGTTAATGTATATTATTGCTTTAAATTTTTTTCTTTTTCCGATTGCATTCCTGCATTTTTGCCTTTTAATAGTATGCTTAAAAGTTTCATTCAGTCAATATTTTAATTGCATCATGGTAATCATACTTACCCAGCATAATCAGATCAGCTGAAATATAAAAAAGAAAGTGTAGATATTACTTTAAAAATAATATTAATAACAATTTAATTGCTACTTAAAAGATAATTTCTCAGATGCATGTATGTTATGAATATGTAATACTAGATAAATACTTCTATTGCTGCTAACTGGGTGGGGAGGGGGGAAGGAGGCTTAACCCCTTGTTTCCCCCCACCTCGCCCCGCTGCCGGCTCCCCTGGTTTGAAGCACCTACTGTTACTGCTATTACTATTGCTCATAATCCATTGTTAATAACTATTATATACACAGATTCTAGGCATCTGATTGGTTAATAGTTAATAACTTAACTATTACGTTGCTTGAATGATAGTTCAAATTCCTGGGAAAAAAGTACTATCATGTTAAATGATAGTACTTTAGAATCTCTAGGTTCCACTTATAATGTCGCTGTGTAATTTATTACATGCAGGGACGCGACATTTGCGACGCTGAGAGAGATTGCCCCTTTGACCACCTAGGCCTAAGAAGTAAGCTAAGGCCTACTTAGTGGGTATTCTTTTCATTACTTTTTTAGGCCTAGTAGAATCTATGTATGAGGTGTATAAAACAAATACTGACTGCTCTAGATTAGGGGAACGGTGAAATCTATAGCCCCTCGGTGATGTGGAGACTGTAGCCTACAGTTGCCACTTCACCTCGGGGCAATGGATTTCACCATTTCCCTCATGAGCAGTCAATATCTGTACATTATTGTTAGTACTATTTTACATTACTGCTCCTAGTGAATCTACCACTAAAATTTAATTGCAGAAATTCTGTTCAAGAAGTGCATTTCGATATTAAAGAAAATGATTTACAACTTACCATCTGCCCCACATAAACAATGATGAGTATTGGGATCATGGTCTGGATTAGCTACATTGGGTGAAGAAAAAGAATGTGAAATAAATTAAAATAGATCAATCAGTCAGCCGATCAATCAGTCAGCCAATCAATCAATCAATCAATCAATCAATTAATCAATCAATCAACCAACCACCCAGTAATTTATATTTATTACCCAAATTTTTAAATATTCAAAATTCTGAATCTTATTCGCCATTCCCGATTTATCCAGCTTTTGGGTGATCCCTTCACAAGATGCTCTACATAAACTAAGTCTCATTTTGAGGCTTAGGGAGTGGAGTTGATTTGGATTGTGAAAAAAAAAACAATCCTGTCCTGTAACACTGACAGGAATTGAACCTAGGACCCTGGGAATGGAAGGCAAGCATCTTAAGCACCAAGCTGTTAAACGCCACTTCATTTATATTTCTTAAAACACTCCTTCAGTAAAGAAATGTAGAAAATTCATTTGTACAACATATCAAAATGATATATTCCTCCACAGCATAGGCTTAGCCAGCGAGCCGTCTGGCAGTCTTTTGGAAGGCCTACAATTATTTAGGACGGCAACTTTTACTGAGACGGCTTGGCCTAATCGGTCGGCCTAGCCTAATTGGGCCTACAGTAGTAGTAGTCTTCCTTTAGCCAATTCTTTAAATTCTCCAAATCTAATGAATGTTACCTTAAACTAAAGCTGAATCAATACGTTTGATAAAAAAAAACATTTATTGATTGAATGTACATTGTTTTCGTATCAATATTCGGTGGGGATTCCAAAAGATCCCGCCCATTGGCTCAGTGCCACACCCACTGGCTTCCATTTTGGGCGGTCTATTTTATTTTTTTGGCTAAACCCCTGCTCCACAGCCTTACTTTCACAGGTATGTTTTCACTTTGATTCTCTAAGGCCTACAAAGTGATTTAAGGTTCTTTCAACGCAAGGCACTACCGATGATATTATTTGAGGATATAGTTCATATGTGAGTTGAGCACTTACGTCTTTGCCTTCGTATATAATCCATGATTTTGTGCTCTCCCTCTCCAGGGGCATTGGCATCTGACAAAATAACCTAGAACGAAAAAGCATAATAAAATCACCTTCACATGTAGTGTCATTTTATCTTGTAATTATTTTGTTAAAATGTAATCACTGAATTAAAAAATATTGATTGATTGATTATTTGATTCATTTCCTGGGGCCTGTTTCTAAGCAACTTTAATAATTATTTTAAATATACAGAAACATATTCTAAAAGTTGGGATAATAGGAAAATAGGAATTGATTGGATTTATTCAGTGTAAACACCAAGGATAACCCACAAAGTCTAAAGAACACTGATTTCCAGTGGGGGCCTTCTGGTGGTTATTGGGCAGTACACAGGGAGACAATTCATGATGATTATATAAGTAATGTTGAAATACTAAATCCCGACATGATGGTTTGCATTTCGATACTTGGAGTATATACTATCCAATTCCCTACTCTTTTCCGAAGAGTGTACTGTGTGTACACTGGACCAACGGCTTAACCCTTACGCTGCCATCTTCACATAAATGCGAACACCGCACAGTTGGTGTGCATGCCAGTTTCGCATAAAGGCAAATAGGCACAGTCAGGCAATGCCAACTTCGCATAAATGCGAATTAGTAAAGGTCTTCCAAAAAACGACCATAGAGCGGCTGTTTTAACAGTAACAAAAATAGTTTTTACTGGATATGAAAGCTAATGAATTTCTGCACATTTTGATGTGAAACTTGCCGGGGGTTGTTTAGAAATTTGAGTTTTTGCAAGAAAATATTATATTTTAGTTATTAACTAAAAGATAAATAAAATGCAGAAATAAAAGCATATACTGTATATACAAAACAACTAAATGCTAAGTAATTGTTTTTAGATTTATATTTTCATAACCTCAATAGTTTAAGAATTATTGAGCAAATAATATACACTATCAAAAATAAGCATTACGGTGATTTGTTAAATAATTAGCTGGCATAGGGGATTAGAGGTAATGTTATCAGCTGGCGCCTTGTTGACTGAATAAGAAAACAGCTGGCAGCGTAAGGGTTAAATGTCTCATCTGAAATATGATGTGCTATTGTAACTTGCATTTCAACCCTCCAGCTTCAATACAAGGAGAGGCAGCGATGGCAATTGAACCGGGGGACCAGATATCTCCACGGTTCAGTGCACACACAGTGGCTACCATTAGATTAGCCGACTGAGCTAAGCTGCACTCGCAGATGGGATTAAAATAGAATAATCCCTCAAATATCCAAATGGGATTAAAATAGAATAATATCTAAATATGGTACTTTTTTGATTGATTCATTTATATTTGGCACAAAAAACCTCTCATTAATTGCATTAACAATCATACATAAATGTTAAAATAAAAGATACATAATCAATGACAGTGCATTTGAACAATTGTTTTGTACAAAAGGCCTAACATTTAAGGATAGTTATTAGAATTTTCAAATATGTGAGTATGCAATCGTAAAAATGATGGGCGAATCATTAAAATTGGACATTTCAAGCCTGTTATTTAGGATAAAAATACAGCATTCCTGGAGTCATGATAAACATGATTTTGAGTAATTGCCTTCCAAAGTTATTTTTGCATACATTGTTTAATGGATTTAACTACCGAAATAACTTTAAATAAATTGTTGACCACTTCGAGAACTAAGACTTTCTGACGTGATTAATTATATATTATACCGCAGATTTATAGTGATATTTGGTTAGGCCAGAGTTGACTTTCATATTTTATACAGCTCATTGATCATTACTAGCCTGTGCAGCAATTCAGCCAATTCGCCACAACATGCCCCATTTGTCCTTGAGGGGAAGCATGAGTTACATAAATACAAAAATGAAATAAGTAAAACAGAAATGATCCATAACTAATGGCTACACAAATAATTGTTTATAAATAGATTATTAAAATAATTTTTTTTATAAAGATATAATATTTTTGTAACAATTTAAGCTGTGTACACCTGCTCATTGTAAATGTATCATTTTGTAAATGTATTTTTATACCTGAACAGATAAAGAAAAATATATAAAACATAAAAAAATATTGCTTGACGTAAATTTCTAGACGTATTTACGTCAAGCAATATTTTTTTATGTTTTGTACATTTTTTTTGTAAATACGTACCTTAAGATCTTTCCAGCCTGGATGATTGTTCAGTCTATCTGTGACATAGTATCGGAGGCACTCAGCCAAATATGCCATGAACTCCGTGCCGGGTGTAATGCAGTTACTATCGAAATGCTCTGTTGCTGCCTTCTCCGGGGGAACTTCCCCTCCCCGTTCTATTATCTCACGTCTGATTTTCTTTATGCTCTCACGCTTTTCTCTATAAAAACAAACGAAATACAGCCATTATACTTATTTATTTATTGCACATCCAACAGTGTAAACACCAATAACAGGACGGAAATATAAAATATACAGTAAAAAACTTACACAATATAAGTAAAAAGCCAAAATTATTACAATAAAGATTATTTTAAAAACTTGCAAAAGACTTAAACTTAGAAAAACTACATTTTGGAGGGAAATTACATTAAGGCATTGACCTTTTCAATAAACCGCAGTAACCCATAGAATACACATACCACCGACCTGTGCCTGAATACATTAATACATTCACGGAACTTACGGGCAATTCCATTTTTTTCTTTAAATCTGGAGGGGTAAGATTCAGAGTTTATTATGTATCATTGCACTAAATTTTATGGTCCATTCATTTACTTTTTTGCATAATTCTACTAAAAAACACAGAGACAAGCAAACAGGGATGATTACATAACTTCCTTGGCAGAGGTAATACAAACAGAAAAATACATAGAGTTTTAGCTAATTACTGTGAAAACTATTAATTCCAGCTCACAATAAAAAATGTTGGTAGCAAAATTGCAGACCATGTGCTCCAGCTACTTACTTACAGATACTGTAGAAGAAAATGGTAATTCATATAATACCGTAAAACATTGAAAAGAACCACAGTGGGTTTCATCTTCAAAAGAAGCCTATCTCCTAAAAAAGAAGCCAGACCTCATTTAAGTCTGAGAAGCACTTAAATGGCCTTCTTAGAATGAAGTGCTATACATTTAAAAAAAAAGCCAATACTATCTTGAAAATAATAATAATTATTATTATTTTCAAGATAGTATTGGCTTTTTTTTTAAATTGTAAATGAAAATCAAAGAAGCCAAAATAACCTATAATATACACATCTTTAATTTATATTTAATGTGATTTAATGTCAGTTTAATCTTATTCCCTGATGCAGATTGATGCAATCTAGGAGTTACCTCACAAAATATATTCCGTATCACAAACAAACCTCTGACGTCGTTAGTGGTGGGCCGGACATGGAGTCCATACTAGGCTAGATCTAGGCTTCACGGGAAGCCCAGTCTAAAAATTACCTCACAAAATATATTCTGCATCACAAACCTCTGATGTTAAGGGTGGGCTAGACCTGGAGTAAATACTAGGCTAGATCTAGGCTTCATGGGAAGTCCAGTCTAGCAATTGCCCCACAAAATATATTCTGCATTTTAATACAAACCTCTGATGTTAGGGGTGTCTCTACACAAGAACTACAGTACATTTGCTCATTGCTCATACAGCAAAAAAATATACAATAGTTCCTCAGGTATACAAGCCCACCTCCCATAAACACAAAATTGGGCATAAAGAAGGGGGTGGTCTAGTACCCGAGGTGGACTTACACATGAAGAACTACGGTACAAATATTTATGCATAACACGACATCAACTGCAACACATTAATTTCGGACTCACCTGCTCTCCTTAGATGCTCTGAATCTCCGAGATCTTTGCTGGTTCATCTTGGCCCGCGGCGCTACGCCATCGATGGCCATGTACAGAAGCTTCCTCGGCCGGACAATACTCATGAGGCGGTCAATGTATTCAAAGATGAGGACCATCATTTCATCCTCATTCTTAGGTGCTGGTCTGAAATGGAAACAGAAGGAAGGAAAGCAGATTAACGAGTTGGCAGCCAGCGACATGTATACTCGTCCCACAGGGTGTTGCTGAGGGCGACAGGGATGATCAAACTCGTCAAAATCGGGGTAACATTCTGGCGTTTATTACTTCTTTGTTCTTGAGTGGCACAAGTGGGGACACCTTTTGAACGTATATCAACCTAAGCAAAAAATGGACGAGAAAAAAAACTTGCATTTTGCATAGTCAATAAAAAGTCACATTGCCGCCAACGAGTTTACTCGTCCCCTAATATTTTTCCACCAATTTCTTAAACTCATCATTTTGATTATATGACTAGATTATGCGTCTGTGAAAAAGAATGGAAACAGGTTTCTCTCTATAATTTTCCACAGAAAACTAAACAACGTTCCTCACACTTATTAATAATGTTCTTATTTAACTTCAATTTGCTTTCTATTCAATAAAGACAAGGTAAATTGAAATTATGCCTTGCTTCGATAACTTTGTGTAGTGGGTTGTTTTCTTGCTTATTAAGAGGTCCTGCTACTATTTAACAGTTCTTAATTCAACCAAATTAGTATAGGTCTGAATTACAGTAAGGCCATCCTGAACAACTACTGACATAAGCAAATGTTTCAGCCTCATCCAGATGATCACAATTTATTTGAAAAAAAACCTGTCATGCCCAAATATGGTCATGATGACATCCTCATCAAGACTATACATTTGCATAAAACAGTTTTTTGTCAAAGAAAATTTGATAAGTGGCCAGAGCTTTAAGGAATAATGCTGGTTTAAAAGCTAGACACAATAACGACACGATAGCGACACAATAAAAATGCGCTTAGTGTTGAAGAGAATATAAACAACGCGATGATAATATGTCATTGCCGTGTCGTTTTTTTTTTCCGTGTAGTTTCATACTTACTTATTTTCCGGGTGACAACACGGATGAATGATGCCGTTCATATCCAGATACAAATTATCAAATTCCACGTTATTTGGGTTAGGCTGCGACAAATCCACTGGAATCTTCACATCGTTCACTTCTTTTCCCTACATTATGGCGATAATTATAAGGTTAAACTGTGACTGAAAATGAATCTGGATACAGTAGGTACCATTATTTGCATGTTCAATAGTACAGTGCTTTATCAGCAGCTAACAATGACAGTAATTTCAATGACGATCTATTTAGCCTGCCGCCAGTCAACGAGGGATAGCATTGCCTTCCAAAATCACTTGTTGTATCAATTTTAGTTTTTTTTCCCTCTAATTAAAGACCCCTCCAATTAAAGACCACCTTCAATTAGAGACCACTTTTCTGTGATCCCAACTTACAAATGTCTTTTATATCTTTATTATTCTAGAGACAAAACTGCTAATGACTATGGAAACTATGCAGTGTTCTCCCGAAGCCGTCTTAGCCGTCAATTTTACCGGTAACAATAACCAACCAACCAGTAAAAATGTTGAGTTTGTAAAATAAAAAAAACTATTGATTAGGCTTAGGTAGTCCAGGCTGGCCCTCTTAATAAATTAACATCATTCCAGTCTATATCTACACTATGAATATGTGTTGTTGTGTCTTCAAGTCATTTAACCCAACTAAAAAGGGGTAACGTACCTAACATTGTGCGCATTGCAATTTTTTATGGACAAATTTACCAGTAAAAATTTTTCAGTTGGGAGAACACTGCTATGGTCCCAAAAGTGGTCTTTAATTGGAGGGAGACATGCCTATTGGTCCACTTTGTTGTACCGTACTGTGTTCTGCATAGATTTTGGTATAGACGTAGGATCAAAAAGCTTTGTGCAAATTGGACTAAAATACTAGATGTGCAGTGTGTCCAAGTTGTTTGAATAAAAAAAAAAATGTATTCATCTGAGCAGTTTCAATTGAATTGAGGCATTTGTAAAGAATAGGAAAGAGAGATGGTGAATACTGAGGCGCTATACGTCAGAATGTGTAAGTTGCTGCAAAAAATGTTCCTTGCTGAATAATGGTTTGATGAAAGTTGTATCAACTTGGACAATAGAATTGTTTGTAAAAATTATACATTTTGCATCTGGCAATAAGATAAAAAATGTTGATTGGTATATAGGCCAGGCCCAGGGCAATGAATTAACTGAATTTTGGAACTTGTTTGATTAGCAGTTGAAGGCCTAACTTTCTGCAAAAAATCTGTGGAGATATTGGCACACTTAATTCCATGCCTTCTGCATGGAGGATATTCCCTGCGCAGGCCATACTGTACGGTGTGGTCCACCTGTGACCTGTGATGAAATAATTTAATTTAAATATGAAAAACCTCAAAATATTTCAAATCCAATTAAGCGGGCCTAGGTCCTAGGCCTAGTACTGTAGCTAGGCTTGTGTAGGCCTAGTAGGAGGCCTAGCCTAGCGAATACCAGCCTAGCTAGGCCTAGGCTCAGCAGCAAATAAATTGTAATTTCAGTGTTTTCTTTAAAAAAAAACAAAAAAAAAAAAACATTTTAACTTCCAATAAAATATTAAAACATAGCATAGCTAGGGGCTAAGGGCTTATATCAAAGTAGTAGTATTGCCTAGGCCTAGGGCAAGCCTAATAACTGTCGACCAAGCTAGGAGTTGTAGGCCCAAGCTAGCCAGGCCAGCCAGGGCCAACTTGTTAGGCTCTGGCTAGCAAAGCGTGTTAAAGCTAAAGTCTGGAAAGAGAGAGACAGAGGCCTGGGACTCTGCTGAGCTAGCTAGCTGAGTTTCAAATTGTACTTGTATTCGTACCTTTTCTTCAACACAGTGCACAATAATTGATGGATATTTTTTGCTCAGCCATCTGAAAAAGGCTGGAACTCCCATTGTAAATCTTCAGTATAGACACAAAGATGTAAATTTGAAGGTACGCAATGAGCAAAAAAAAAAACAGCAATCAAAATTTTCAAGCCTGCTCGAATCTCTAAACACGCTTTCCGGCTATTGGCTATCGACACGGTCATTCCACGATCCAGATGTTGTCTATCGGCACAGTGACCGTGCGTGCAAAATACAGTAGTCTTTCATTTATTTGTGTGAAAAACTATTAGATAACACCTTTCCTGTATTCTTTTGCATAGACCTTTAATAGCCAAAGGTAAAAAAATATACATTGAAGTATGTTGTTTAAAAAAAAAGGGGATAGAGCACGTGTACATTTTGCCAAGTTTATAATATTATAAATACAATTTTTTATGTTAACAGCGAACGTTTTCGGGCATTGACTATCAACTTGATGAAGGTCAACGGACAGAAAAACGTGTCACAAAACTTTTTGACAAACACATGCAGTGCTATTGAGTATTAATTGACTTCATATTAAGATCTTATTAGTTCATGAACTATACGGTATACAACCTATTTTCATATCAGCTGGGGTAGATCCTGCTCATTAAAGTTATGAAGTCTAATAAAATTATAAAATTCAGTGGTGGATTCAATGGGTGGGGGGCCCAGCCGCCCCCCCCCCCCACTTCCCCAAACACACCTAAATTGTTTAAAATTTGAAGAAAAAAAAATGGAGACAAATATAGGAAGTTTCCGGCCATCAGAGGTGCAATATTTTATCACCAATTTTCTTTCCTCAGCCGCGCCCCGACCCGGGTAGGGCTGAGGTGGTATAGATCCTCCATATGTGAAAGTAGGCCTACTACTCCCTCTATTTTGAATTCCTGGATCCGCCATTTTATAGTATAAATTACGATTATTGTTTCAAAATTATTGTAAAACAATTGCAACTACAACATTGTGATGTTCATATAATCTAACAGCAATTTATTTTGTAAATTTATCTCTGGATAAAGCAGAAAACAAAAGAACCGCGTTTTAAGCTTTCAACTATCACTGTAGTCTTGTTCACAATGACACACGATAATTGCGTCAATTTATTTATTTATTTACTTTTGATTATTTCCAGTTTTCATTCATTAATTATTTATTTTTTTTATTTATTATTTATTTATTCTTTTAATCACTACACAAATTTGGTTACTCGATTTTAAGGAGAGCATGCTATGACATTTGTATTTTTCATTTGCCTATTTTGCTTAACCCGTTTTCATTTTCAATGCATTAACTATTTAAAACTGCTTATTTAATAATATTTTTATATTAAAATGTTCCGGTTTATTCTTATTATTTACTTTATTTTGTATGTTATAATTGATTTTATTTTGAAATATAACATTGAAATTAATGAATTGTATCTGGTTCATCACGTAAATCCTTATGTTTTCTATTGGTTAATTATAAACAATATCATATCAATATTTTTTTTAAATGAAAATTGCGATTTTAGTGCAATTGAAAAATAAAAACCGTAAAAAAAAAACAGAGATCGACTATTTAATAGCTTATTTGAGGTGTATTTTGTATACCAAAACGGACTTCGGTCATGTTCCAACTCCAGAGCTATAATCAGTGGCGGATCCAGTAAACGGAAAGCTGAATATTCATAGATTCTTCTCATATAAAATACAGTATATGAATTACCATTGAAAAAGAAAAAATCATCATCAAAACACTAAAATGGATCGTGTGGGAATCGAACACACAACCTCCAGGTTTGCTATTCATTATCCACCATCAACTAAACTGCCTTAAAAAAAATGGTTCGTGTGGGAATTGAACACACATCCATCAGGTTTGCTATTCATTATCCACCTTCAACATTAATAAACTCTAAATAATAAGAGAAATTTATACTCTTTGCTTCAACCTTAAAAAAAAAAAAAAAAAAAAAAAAAAAAAAAAAAAAAATGTTTGCGTGGGAATCGAGCACACAACCTCCAGGTTTGCTATCATTATCCACCATCAACTAAACTGCTTTAAAAAAAAATTGCTCGTGTGGGAATCGAACCCACGACCTTCAAAAAAATATATAAAAAGAAAAAAAAAACTTGCCCCGTGTGGGAATCGAATCCACGATCGCTGAGTTTACTACTCCTGATCCAGCATGACTAAACGGAGGGAGGTAAACCGCGGTCCCTAAGCCATAAATGCGATAAACCTAGTACCACACCAAGTACCAGTTAGTCAACTCTAATTTTACTAGAAAAAATTCTTCGTATATATAAACTGCAGGTTAATATTACGCATGGTCATGGTGTCAAAAAAAAAATGGGCCGTGGGCCAAGAGGGTTTATTTTTTGTCTAAAAATGTATGATTAAATTTATAATCGATTTATGATTGTTACCATTTCCATAACTGACACACTTTTTTTTAAATAGACAAAATTGTTGGAAAAATTCATTATGCAAATTAGAAAGAAATAGACCAATCATGTTACGGGATTGAATGTATTGTACTCGTTGATGACGTCGCGAATTGCGAAATAACAACAAACAACAACCTTTCATTTTCCAGCCTGGGAACCAGTCAATTCGAGCGGATGCCAATTCGAGCGAAGGCCAATTCGAGCGAATTCGAGCGGATTTTTTTCGAGCGGATGCTAGTTCGAGTAGAAGAAGATCCACTTGTGCGAACAACAACCTGTGCGAGTTATATACGAATTACTTAAAAATTTCTATTATTTCTATTTTTGAGCTAACAATTTGTTCAAACTTTGCCTGCTGGGAGGCAGGGGAAAGCCCCAGTCGGTTCCGGGGAAGACGCCTATAGCCTTATGTATAGCAAGTCGTATTTAATGGATTTTTAGGTTAACAAAATTTATTAATAAAGTTCTATTTGTTCTGAATGTATATGGTAAATGAATCCTATTGGGAATAGGAATTTCCTTTATAGCCTGCCATCTGTATCTTAGAGTAAATAAATAAATAAACAAACAAACATACCCACATTCATAAAAATAATAATATATCTTAAATTATACTAACTTAGTCAATGTTATCGATGTTGTTTGAACAAAACAAGCCCTTACGTATACGATGCACTACTTTTTTGAAATCACATTTCTAAAGTACAAATTGTATCTTGTCATGACAACATAACTTTTATTATGTCGACTTGTCAAGATAACTGCCAACTACCAAAAAACTTGGCAGCGAAAGGACGCTACCAATAAACAATCAACAAACTACCGGGTTTCTGGGTTGATTTCCAAGGTACTACATGGCTGAACTATATTTTACTTTAAGGTTAATTGGTAAAAATCGCACACAAATCATACGACGTCACTGACAACGCCGGGGACGGCAACTCGATCTTGAGATTAATTTTCCGAATAAAGTTATACTAAATACCTTCTAATGACGAACTACCGTATTGTCTTCAATTGTCTTTGTTGGTCATTCAACTGTCATTTTATCTATCTTTTCGGTGATATTACTATTCTCTATAAAACACCCACATAACAAGGTCACGTTAGAACGATCGGTGGGGACCCCTTTGGTGACGCCGGTATGGTCAGTTTTCGTCGGAAGGTATCAAGATTATAAACAGTTTCATTGGACTAAATTCTTTCTTAAGTTAACCACATGCTTACCTATTATACTGACACTGGTTTCAAATCACGGTCAAGTAGTTAAACATCACCTAAAATCACCTTATTTTGCGAATTAGCACCCCTCAACTGATCATCAAGCCCCCTCCCCACTTCAGCTTCGCGCACCTCCCCCATTTCAAAACATCTAGATACACCACTGACTTACATGGCCAGATGAATGAAAATACTCAATCGATGTGCCACCAAATTGTACTCAGCCTTCACCATGCCCTCACGATGTCACCGGGGACGCAACTGCCAAAAAACTATTTTTGGCAGCGAGGACGCTACCAATAAACAATCAACAAACTACCAGGCTTCTGGATTGATTTGTAAGGTACTACATGGCTCAACTATTTTTTACTTAGGGGTTAATTGGTAAAAATCGCACACAAATCATACGACGTCACTGACAACGCCGGGGACGGCAACTCGATTTTGGGATTAATTTTCCGAATAAAGTTATACTAAATAACTGTCTTCATTTTATCTATTTTTTCGGTGATGTTTTCGTCAGAAGGTATCAAGATGATAAACAAGTTTCATTAGACTAAATTCTTGCTTATGCCACTGCGGTGGGGTTCCAGGCAGCCACGGATATTTGACGAATTATGGCGAATTTTTATTGCTTATTTGATAGGCATCGAGCTACTATAATATGAC